GGGAGCCGCAAAAATCTCACAATTAAACTTACACTCACTATTTTCTTCGAAAATATATGTGAGTTCCACAAAATATAAATTTCTCAACAATATTGATAGCTATTTCCTAAATACTATTTAAACTATTATCATTCACAATATTTCTCAATGAAACCACTAAAAACTTCAGCATACAGACATATTCTAAACAAAAAGTTTTTTATGCGTTGTCTCTAGTAATATTTCCTATTGATAGATCCAATAAACTTCAAATGTTAAAAAGGTTTTATTATCTTATTTTTGAACAAAATATAATCTCACTGCACTGAAAAAATAAAACTTCTATTTGATCAGTATCTAACTGACCGAAATATGTGAGTTCCACATTTTAGCCCCAACGGGGCTGCGCTGAATAGCTTTCATGTGAACTTTTTTCTATTCTATCGTCGTTTCAAGAATCTAACAGCAAGCAAAACATGATAAAGATAATGATTTACAGACATTGACATATCGAAGCATTCGTTTGAACAGAAAAAATAATCTGAACATGAATCGATGTCTTATTTTAGCGAGTCTTGTAATCGTCGAGAATACGACGTAAACTAATTCTCTTTCTTTATATAACAACTAGAAAAATATAAGTGCACTTTACAGATATATTGTTGACTATGACCGAGCTATAAAATAATATTAAAGAGTCTCCCGGGAATACGGCCTTTTGCTTTTTGGGAAAGAAATCTTAGAGCTAGTTTACATAACAATTTCTTCTCTGCTGTAGTAAATAGGCATGAGAATTTTGTATAAAAACAAATATAATTACATGAGACTATCAAAGAGATAGAAAACTATGAATACAGGTCAATGTTCAAGTTACTTTCCAATAGAAACATCATGTCCGATTTATTGTTCATCATCAAAGCGCGTAACACTAAAATGAACTAATACTTAGGGTAATGGCATACTTAGATTACCGATAAGTATAGAGATTAAATTAACTGGACTCTGAGTAATACTCGAAAGGCTAAAATGATAGAATGTCCTAATAGTTTTGTTCTAAGCAGCTTTTCGTTTTTTCTTTGTGTCTATCTGTACTGTTTCATTGAACTTAGCCAACTATTTATTTAAATCCTAGTGTGATGGAGTCATTTTTTAATTCTAAAAACAAGCTTTAGAACTTTTGTTCAAATTGTCACTTGCAACTAAAACATTAAAATTCAATCATGATTCAATTTTGATAAATACATAAAACCTCATTTAAGTTCCTTTTTTTTTAGTTTCTCCAATAAATTTGAACTCTAAACCATTCATAAATTTCATAGAGATTCGTTTGAATGTATCTACAAAAGCTAAATCTAACAATGTTTATTCGCATGCTGATAGTACTGATAGGATAGGTGCATTTTTGTTTTTCCTAATATACCAATCGCCAAACCTATCGTTCACCAAGGGGCAAAAAATTGTCAAGAACAACGCTGGTGCGCTAATCTTGTACAGGTCTCGAATTTTTAATAATCCTTTTTCTTTTTTTTCAACAAGGAATAAAAGAAGTTTTGAAGCATGTCAAGACAATTTTCTTAATCAATTATCGTTTTTTTCCAAGGAACAAAAAATTCCATGGTTAACTTGATTGACAGTATCCATCATACTGTGAGCTTTAGTAAGTTTATTTCGACCTGTACAATAGAAGAATAATATTACTAGATCATATAGAATATTTGTACTAATTAACCATGTGCGAAACATGAAAAAGAATTCATTTGTCAAACAGAAAGAAATGAGTTTGCCATTATTTCGATCGTTAAGAATCAGGATCAAGGTTTTAGCCATCGCAACATTTCAATACTCTTCTTGGCACCATTTTCTTGATCATTCATATTAATGCGCTGAATCAGTTTCAATACAAGTATCATAAACAATTTTGATGTTACTCACTATGGGAATATACGATACATTTTCACATGAAAAAAAATCCCCCTAACTTGTAACGAAGATTCTAATTTAGCAAAATATGAGGAGCACATCAATTATTAACTGCATGTTGATCAGCGTTTATTTTTACTTGATGTGCACACAAACTTGATTAATTATATATGAATAAAAAAAACTGCTGACTGGCTCGATCATTCTTCGTGAAGTGCATTTTCTATTATTAATATAAATTTTAAAAATAAAAACAGTTCTCGAATAAAGTTCTTTTCTGGTTAAAAGACGAGTTTGATGGTCGATGAGCCATAAACAGCGAACTGATCTTATGAACTGCTATTTCAACAGACTTACATTTATTGCATTCTGCTGCATAGGACACTATCAAAACCAATGTGTATGCACATTCTAAACAATTTAAAAAGCAGAGTAACTAAAGCATTAAAAGAAAGAGAAAAAATCTAATCGATAATGTCACATGAAATAGTACATCTAATAGATAATATTGATATGGTTATAGTTAGTTTAAATATAAATATTTGATTTGCTAAATATTCATTAAAAAACGTGACTTACATGAATAAATCTATGTACGTGCTATCAACAAGCATTTTTTGTTTGTTATCTTTTTGTAATAGTTACATAAAAAAGTCAACATATATTTTCCGCACTCTATCCTGCAAGTGATAATAACAAACAGATAAAAATTATTTCTAGTCAGAGATGTCAACAGGTCACTTTTTTCCGGCCTGACCTGCAGCCATACGTGAAACCAACAAACGTTACGTGTATTTTTATAGTATGTTCATTCGGCTCAATTTTTAGTCATGATGTTGAGGATTAATGTGGTTGTTTATTTCTTTTCTTAATAGTAATAATATAAATAAATGAGGAAGCATCGGATGCGCATCCGATTGTTATGTGTACTGCAAAAACTGAGGCGATTTATATATGTTGTGGATAATTCTGAGAAAATTGTTTTTGAAAAAACCCTGTACCTCCCTGTCACGTCACTGAGTGCACATAAGACGCAACTAGTGCAAGGACCAGGTGCCACAATAATTTATTTGGTAGATGGCGAGATTGTTTGTAAAAGTAAAGATTGAGTTTATTTTTAAAAGATCAAGAAGTGTTTTTTTATTAAGTAACTCACACTGCTCTGAAAGAGCGCGCGAAAAAACAAGAAAATTAAATTAGTAAACCAAACACATATTTAGATGTGTATACATATACAACAAGCATCAAAATAAGATACAAAGGCAATGCTGCCGTTACACTTCCCTCAGGGATGGTCGGGTCAATAATGACAATTTTTTCGATAGCTCAGCCATTTCTTGACGGATCCTTCTCATCTCCGAACTCGACTGAGATATTGATGAGATCATTATGTGTACAAAATTTCATACCGATTGGATGAGGCTGTCAAGAGTTATCGTGTTAACGGCCGGACAGACACACTGACCGAATCTAGAGTGTACTCACTTTTTTTGAGTACACAAAAACAAATGGAATAAATAATCATTGAAAATTAATTTTTATAAAACCAACTGAATGTCAGCGTACATTTTGATATAGTCAAAGAGCATGTGACTATTCTGTACAAGTTCATAATTATATATGTTTAGGTTTGACGAGCATCTATATAATGCGAATTTTTTTACTAATTCAATCTTTCCTTTGTATTTATTTCAATCTCTAATATGTCAAGTTATTTCGCACTAAAAATATAATAAAAAAAATTGTTTTTGTTTGTCATAGATTTATCTGTATGCAAAAAATAAAGCAAGAAGAAGTATGACTGATATAAAATTCTCGACTTTCTCATGTCTTTAGTCATTACATTTATTTTCCGTAGTGTAATCACGGTTGATTGACTTTCGCCATGGAGTACTGATATGAGTCCTCTTTGAATTGATCAAACTTTTCATGGGTTTCATATATATGTACGTGATAAAATCACCCTGTGTACATGCAAATTGAGTCACTACGTATCTATATAAATACGCATGGTTTTTTGTTGTTTCTCTATTTTTGTTATTATTCCTGATGTAAGAAAATTCGAATAAGAAACTTTTATACTTAACTAAATGTTTTCGATAAAATTTTCTGTTCTACTATTTATTACTTACATTGTTTGCGTTTGTACAAATTTGAAACAATCTTCATGCGACTCTATTGTCGCGTTTGGAGATTCACATACAGACACAGGAAATGTATATAATTTAACACAATTCCAATGGCCATTGGTTCCACCATATTATCAGGGTCGCTTTACCAATGGCCCTGTCTGGATAGACATATTAAATTCTTTTCAGATAATGAATTATGCTTATGGCGACGCAGCAATTGATAGTGCTAATTTAATTATAGGTTTCACTGGACCAAATAGAACAGTAATGGTACCTAGTATTCGCCAACAAATTGTCCTTTATTTAGCTGACACCATTCTAGATACAAGCGATTTACCAGCTACAATTTACATTATCTGGTCTGGCGGTAATGAATATCTTATTAATTCAAGTGTATCTTCAAGTATAGTAGTAGGTGCTCTATTAAATGCAGTTTATGATTTACTTGCGATCGAGATACAACAGTTGATTGTTGTAAATCTGCCACCACTTCAACTATTTCCTGGAACTAATGATACTCAACGATTAGGTGCATTAGTAAATGAACATAATAATTATTTATTATCAAACATAACTATTATTCAATCGAAATTTCCAAAAGCATCTTTAAGAGTATTTGACTTATATTCAATAATAACAGATATTCTTTCGAACAATTCAGTGTTTCAATTGAATAAAATGAATAAATGTTGGAATATTGTTAACAGTATCGTTATTTCACAATGCACAGATCCTGATACATACGTTTTTATAGATGATTATCATTTCACAAGTGTAATACATCAAATTATTGCTGACAGTATAAATCAATTTATTCTATCATCAAGTTCGGGCAACTTCGCTTCTTCGAAATTTTATATTTATAGTTGTTTGAGTTTATTTATAATAAAGAAATTTTCGACATAATTAGCTCAATTTATTAATCAGAAAAAAACTTTCAGTTGAACATATTAAGTATATTGAAAAGATTGTACAAAAGAAAAAGATTATAAATGTTGAGTATTGCAATGATATGAATCGGATTCGACTATATATTTCAAGTTGCAATCTCATATTCTTGAAATTATAGTAAATATTTTTAAATTGTATTCAAAGCAATGCTCTAAAACATTCATAAGGTTAGACTTAGCAAAAAATAAGTTGTGTTAATAAATTTTTTTGTTTACATTCGAATACAATAGTCATATGGATGTCACACATAAATATGTGATTTTGAAAAGTTTTCCTGCTTTAGAATATAATAATTCAGCGAGCGGATAATATATATCTTTGCTAAAATGCTTTAACCATAAAATTGAAACCTATCGGTCTCTTGTGTAATTTCTCCATTTCGAAAAAAAAACAGAAGCAACCCGAGACAGATGAGTTGAATTCTTTTGTTTTATATGAACTCTATGGATAGTTCTCTTTCGAAGAATTGCAGAAAAGCTATCTATAAAATTGTATTTATTCGTTAGAGGTACGTATTAGCAAATAAAATAGAAAAGAATCTAGATCAGCAACAATTCAAACTTGGCTTTTACGTTGATGCATTATATAAGTATGTTTTTTTCTTTTCGTTGACAGAGCAGTCTCTTATTCTGCCAAGTTATATTTTGACAGTAATGGGGTGACTAAATATATATCTATTTACGTCTATATGAATGCAAACGAGAATCGCTATCGAAAATAAGTATCGCAATCAAATGCATGATTTATTTTATTCTAGGCAATGTAATGCATATAATATTAATGTTCTTTTGCTCTGTATAAAAACTATCGATTGGCTTATATTTTATTTTTTCTTCTCACATGATTTGCATGAAAAAAAATTTTAAAAAAATATGCATTTAAACACGTTATTTTTTTTTCGAGCATGATTTCGCTAGAACGTTTGCGTGTTTCATAAAACGCGTTTCAACGAGTTTTTCATAAATAAAAACGTAAAAAGCAAGCCTACAATGCTTTCTGTAAATTGCGTTTATCGTCAGATGCAACGCCTCGTCTTTTTCGGTAAGCGCATTTAAACCATTGAGAATATTTTACGATGCGTAGATTCGAACTTTGAACATTTTAGTTGACTTACTTGATGGAGTTGCGCCATACTTATAGATAACATTATGATAATTACACGTCTATACTTAGTAAATATAAGAAGAAATGTTGTATTTTATTCGGCACTTATCAAAGTTTCGAAATAATCTCTCTGCCTTTTCCATATCAATATTATTATATATCTAGAGCTAATTTCAATAGTTTCTGAGTTTAGCATTTTCTTTTCATTTTCTTTTTAATATCAATTTGCATTAATTTAAGTATAAAATCAATCTAAATTATGAGAAGTTACTTTCAAAAGAAATTCAAAATAAAGTAGTTTTTAAAATTATTATTTGGATCAAATCAATTTTATAAATGTAACTTGCTCCCTCTCTAATATTTTTTGATAAAAAATAATGATAGTTTTTATTTCTTTTATTTTTAACTATATGAATATTTTGACTTTTAGTATAATCTAGTTATTTAGTGACCGTTTTATTTGATCCATCACTAGATAAAGTACTGACAAAAACTTCTGGATAGTATATCTATATAAATATTCAAGCTGTCAAGAGAGAGAAGAAGAAAACTAAGCTATAATCTAAACAAAGTATAGTAAAATAAACAAATAGTGTATAATCATTCTTTTTTTAATATATTTTTGTTTGAAATGCGAGTTTATACAAATTAAATTACAGTTCTACAGATTCAAAAAAGAAGCGACGCCTAAAACACTAATATTCTTTTATTTAACACTGAAGTAATTTAGAAGAATTACTTTTCATTAGAAAACACTGTTGCAACGTATTTCCCAAATATACTGTTTTTTAGGTAAAAGATACGCTATTAAAGGCAAGTTTAAACTCGTTCAAGATAATACGTTTAAGCGAGTTTTTTAGAATCATTTTTGTTTAAACAACAATGCTTTTGTCCGAACGGATTTAAATACCTTTTATTGAAACGCACATGTTCTCGAATTTGTTTTTCATGGGTAGCATATATGTATCTATAGGAGGTATTAGTTCTGTTGGTATATAATTCTGCAATTAATTATCTTCACTTCGTTTTACTCATGTAAAGAATAAAGGAGAATCACGTATAAACTTTTCAGGAAGTAGATAATGATACCGATGACGTCGTAACCCGAAAACAATTACACAGCTCGCTAAAACCAAGAAAGAGAGTCAAGCGTTTACACCAACAAGATAATGAATCATATTATTGAATTAACAATTTTCTATAGTACAGCAATGACTTTATTAAAAATACGAATATCAAACAGATATTTCAAAAGTGAATTGATATGATTAAACATCGCATACACATATGGAAAAATCAATTCAAAAGAACATCAACTATTGTAACTGTTTGTTGTATGTAATCGATTGGCCTAATCAACGCTTACATTACGAGGGTATTCCAAAGAAAATAAATGGTCTTGTTTATATTTAACGAGAAACATACATATACTAAATCATTTATTTTTGCATTTTATGCTTTTTTACATTAATTCAGCCAAGCAGAAAGAAAACAATTTGTTTATATTACGCTCGAACAGACAGACGATGAAGCAAAAAAACATCAAAATGTACTTCAGCTATATGCAATTAGTGATGATTCAGATGTGATGGCGAGCTATTGGGGGTATCTCTTGCCTTCCACCACGGAATATTTTTATATTTTCTAGCACAATTCAAACTTTTGTTTTGTTTCCTATTAGAAAAATTATTATTTCTGATTGAAAAATAATTCATGGCAATTTGTTCTCAATATTGATAGTGTCAATTTTTTCTTGAAGACAAAAAAAGCGTTCGTTTACTAATCTTCTTCAATAAATACAAATATCAATATTTATCACAGCACCTGAGCTTGGTGTCTAGTGCATAAATAAATATTATATATATATATATATCTATCTTTTGTAAAGTTCATTTGAAACTTTTAAAACTCATACGTACTATTGCCACTATATGAATGAAAGAAGTTAAATATCAAAGCCAATTCTATGGATTGTAATACAATGATAATATCAATGATCTTCACTTTTAGAGAAATATATATATAAAATTAAAATCTCTCTTTTTAATAAACTAAGAGAAAATTATCTAGTTTACTACCCCCCCCTCCCAATAATAGACCCTGGAACTTCCATTATGTTCCAATATAAAAATTCTCCAGGGAGTGGGAGTCTTCTATTAAGAACCACATATTTTCCCCAATATTTTATTTGAAAGATTTTCAGCGTTTTAAGGGTTTCATTATAATTTTGAATACGTTCTCTTAATGTTTCTAGCTCAAAACGCTAACAATCAAGCATATTTTGATGGAAAAACACTATTTACAGTTCCTAATCAATGAAAAATAAATAAAAGGGGGGGTTTCCTATTATGTCTGACGAACTTTTCCCCCAGTGGGATCTTCTATAAAGGGAGAGGGAAAGGTTACATATTTATATATAGTTATTTGTTTTGAAAGGAGAGTTTTAATAAAATTTTGAGAACCTACAGCATGCAGTTTTCATACAAGCAATTTTATATGATGATTAAAGAGAAATAATCAATGGTGCATTCTTTTTAAGTGACCGTGCCTATGTTGGTGACGAAAATAATTTAGATGTTTCATTGCTTGGTAAGTATCTTTATTCTTCATTTCATAAATCGTAAGAGTATTAGATAAAGTTTGTGTCCAACCAACCATATTTTTACAATTCTATATTTTTCATTTATTTTAATTACCATAGTTTTGCTTATATGCTTTTTTTAGAGTTAATTAAGAATCCAATGACTTTTTCTGTCTTATTGCTACAGCTATTTTTCATCATCTGTTCTGTATTTAAGATTTATAGCGATGAATGGTGTAAAATTTCAGATTGAAATAAAATATCCAACGTGTGAAATATTTGATTTACATTCGAGATTAAATTTTGATTCATACCCTCAAGCAAGATATATTTGTTATATGAGAAATAGGAATATGAAGCTAGTTTTTAGTTTTTATTTAAATAGACGAAGATCAAATGTCAAATTTGATCATGATCCATGTATATTAATCAGCATCTGTGATTATATTTGAGTCATGATTCTAGTAGTTGTCAAAAGTAGTAAAATTGCATAAAACATGATTTGTAGCATATTTTCCAGAAAGCAAAAAAAATTCTTTTGGTTTCAACCTATCAAAAACAAAAAACAATCCACTTTGAAAAAGCCGGGTAACTTGGAAACATCATCTCAAGTATCATCATCGATAGCAAACTCAAAATAGCTTTGATTACCTACTTCAAATTGTTATCGAACATGTTTACGACGTATGATTTTCAAATTCTAATAGCATAATATCGTGCATAATGATGTCGTGGTTTCAAGACTACGGACCCAAAGAAAGAAAACAAATGATAATGTTTTGATGACGTCTTTATTGTTGCGTTATCTTTGTGGGCATCTGCGAAACTAATTTTTTGTCCCGATCTCTGAGAAAGGTCGACTGCATACAGATATAATTTATTTATCATCACTCTCGTGTGTACATTACAGAAGGAGTCTCAAATTCTATCAGTGGTACGCAGTTGGACTACCGCCAAGACTGCATTATGATGCAAATATCTAGGCAGCTAAGCTTATGTGTGTTGCAAAACATTTATATATATATGGTAGACGTCATCAGTTGTCAGAAAGACAAAAGCATAGTCTTTACTGTAGCTAGAGTCTTTATAAAAATAATACAAGGTAAATAATTGTTGCGAACATTGTTTTGTTTTTGTATTGTCAGCTTAGGTTGACCTAACCGAAAGCGCATAGATAAAAATAATGATACACAATAGTATATTGCAGCTATATAATAAATGCGTCTCAACTTGAATTTATATGGATTCAATCGAGTATTTAGTTTTACAATGCACGTCTCTTCCATACTTTGATATTAATCAAAAGAGTATACCAATGATCTGTCACAAGCAGCAGATGTTTAGAATTATTCTGTGACGATGAATACAAGAACGTACACATGTAAATCCCTCGATGTACTTAATACATATACGTATTTTGTTAATCGAAGCATCCAAACACACCCCCCGATTCGCAGACTTAGGGTATGGAACAGTAATATTTTTACTAATGACTGAAGTCGTACGATTATTTCGGTTGTGAAAAAAGATTATATTTCGAAGACGTCTTACGTTAAGTAGCAGTCATGTGAGAAAAGTAAGATAACCGTAAGCTGGATCATCTCAAAAACATCATCTATCTTGCAGATGATCTTCTTCGTTCTTCTCGACATATTTTCTCAATCAGTCTAGACGTACGTTAATGACAATATAGAAAAAAACATGGTTTCAACTAATCAGTATAGATATGATACAAAGACATATACGGGTGCAGCATCAATGGACGCGACAAATATATTTTCTGTTGCGTTTTTTTTTTGTTGGAGCTTCCTTCCTTATATAGTCTTGTGCTAGTGTATTCCATTCTGTCTATTTGTAAAAAACATCTCTTCCAGGGAACAAGTATACAGTTTCCAAAGTTATTGTGACACATGTTTCGCTTATCATGCATACGGTCATCCATCTAAAAAGTTCACTGATTTCGTCAATTACATATATTTATTATTTGTCGAGTATGTGTATTTGCTTGAATAATGATGAGATTGCAAATAAAGAAATCATAAAAGGTGAAGAAAGACTACAGAATAAAGGGCAGACTACGCTTTTGCATGTTGCAATTCTCAGTGTCAGTCAATTTTGATTAAATTATTTCTTCTTTTTTTCTCTTCTGACAATAGAATGTTTTTGAAAAACAATCTTTCTCCGTCGTACATAGGTAGATCACTATCTATCATCTAAGTGTAATCTATTTTATGACAGTGTTTCATGCGGAAGACAGCGAAAACAATTGTTTTATTTTATGCGAATAGCTTTTATTTTGAAGAACATCATATATTTCAGTTGATATTTTTATGAATCTAATCACCGACATAGATAAGAATATTGACCAAAAACAGCTTAAAATAGAACACGACTGTCTGAATCATATATTTTTTACTATACGAATATTTATATGTGCTTATATTTTTGTTTTGAAGATAATCAGTGTGGTACTTTGACAGATGCATAGAAAAACAACAAACTTTCTGTTGTTTTCACATGAAAGAGAGATAATAACTCGAGAAATAGGCTGTGCCTGATACTATGGACTATAAAACAGAAGCTTGCTAATCCCTATTAAAATTACTTTTAGTACATTCTTTTTTTAGATTTAGTTTTTATAGTAAACAATATCATCGAAACATAATTTCTATGTTAGGATATGATCATTTTCAGAAGGCTAATCTTGTTCTTAACTTAGAATACAAGGAGCTATTGTTGAATTCGAATAATTATGTTTCGCATCTTTTATTATCAAAGAAATATCATGTAATCAGTCATGTTGAATCAATGATTGCTGATTGTAAGAGAAATATGTTGTTGAATTCAACTTGTTAGTGATTGATGAAAATGTGTCATCACATCAAAAATGCGAGTACAACAGATCCATTTATTCGCTTTTTAGCAACTCATAATGAATGACAGAATAAATAGCGAAGGCAGCATATAAGAACCATTTGTTACAGAAGAAAAAAAATACGACAGAATTTGTACTCTTGTAAATATATATATATATATATATATATGTATATTTATGAGAATATCAATGACATCTGTTGTTTTCGATTGAGTCTTATTCAAAGAACGATTGAGGACAACGAAGGCAAAAAAAGTAAGTGCTGAAACGACCTGCCTTTTCTGTTCATCGGAGATGATATTCTATCTCAAGACAAAGCTAGTTGAATCAACAAGTTTTCATAGAGAGAAAACAGACGCATGTTAGTTAGCGGCCTCTCTAAAACACTATATCCAATTGGATAATTTCTATTCCTAGTTTTACATCAGACAGAGATATTAATGACTCAAAAAACAAAAAAAAAGACTATCTTCTCATTGTTTACCAATCAGCATAATTTATTCGTATTAATCATAGTCAAACTATTGGGAGAGAAGGAATAGGCTATGTGATGTTTAGGCTCTAAGTTGTTCGGGTACTTTGGCATTCACACATAAAAAGGAAATGCCAAAGCAAATATTGTAACACACCTACTCCGACGATACTTCATGATAAATGTGCACTCTCATTCGTATAGAATTGAGTTTATATTCCTATTTAGCCTGAATTGATTTTTTCATCTTTTATTTGAAAACAAAGACGTCATGCGTACATGTTTTCGTAAGTAACAGCGACCTATCATAACAGCGCGTAAGAAAGAGAAAAACATCGATGAAAGGAAGAGAACAGCAATCAGAAACACATATTGTTACACTTTGCATTTGCATTTTTCAAAAACATAAAGAAATTTTATAATTGTATGTAACCCTTCTTGCATCAGAAAAAATGCGAGTTGTTTTTTCCGTGGCGCGGTACATTAAAAGAATTTTTCATTGTTCATTTTCACCTTGAGATATTTGTCACGTATAAACACACTTGCTATCTATGCGTTCTTATGTCTGTTTCGCATTTTTTTTCTCTGCATTCTTTGTTTATCTTGATTCAGTGATAAAATCTGAGATATTTTCCACATGATTTCATCTTTTTTCTAGATACAGAAATCAATTATTTATTTCTTCATATAACAATAATGATCTTTCTTTGGTAATCAAAGAAAATATTTAAAGCTATTAAAAAATTCAATTACATATTGCATTTTTTTATCCGTTAATGTCTACTAAGTCACCAATACAAAGTATTAAATCGAGATTTTCCAGCAATAATAGTGTGCATAACATGGCGACCAATGGTAGTGATACAAAACAGAGTCGAATACATGTTAAAAAGCCATTTGGTACGACAAATTTTTTACAAAGTAGTTCATCGACAAATGGTTTTAGTAATCACATAAAAAAACGAACATTACAATGGAATAATTTTTTTCATTCGAAAAAAAAATCTAATCATTCAACTGGATCGAATAATAGCTTGCAATCTGATGAGAACTCAACAGGTGAACCTCTCGTCTTTCATGCTATTGCACCAGCTTCGCCAGAAGAAATAAAACAATCATCAAACCATGTTAACCATGAAAAACAGGTAATTTTATTTGCAATCAAAAAACAACAAAGGAAAGAATTTTCACAGTTTTAAAATTTAAGTTTTCGATAGAGAAAATATTTCATGATTTACTCAGTTAATGAATAATACTTTTTTCTGCATCCCATCTGCATGTTACTTTGACCAGGATGCATTGTGAGGAGAGAGTTTACGTGAAGAAATAGAAGATTTGATTGCAACCTTACTTTTCGTTTCGAAGAATTGTTTTCTCGTAGTTTCGCTCGGAGTTCCAGAAACTTCTCTTGGTCATGGTCCCGGCTCCGGACTGTGCTTTCGACAATCTCTCAAAGTTTAAGTTCAACCAGGTTCCTCCCAAAATTGCATCGAAATTGACTCCGCACAAATTTTCATCATGTGCATTGAAAGATTTCAATCAGGTATCGACAATTAAAGGCATACACGTTAACAATAACTCGAAAGCTGCTGTTGATAATTTGCTTTTTTTTATATAACATTTTTTTCATTCATATTAAACTATATGAAGATATTTGGTCATTTTTATTTTTAGCTTAAAAACGTACCAGAATCAACACCGAATTCTCAAATTCGTTATGTTCTTGCTCATACTAAAATAAAAGCAATGTCAACCAATGATGCATCAACTCAAGTACAATCGAGTTTTTCAGATGAAGAAGAAAATCAATCAAAATATAAACCTGTATTATCCTCCATAGATGCTGACGCTGATGAATCTGACAATGGTAGTAATCAAAATATTAAAAAAGCACGTCGTTTACAAAAAAATAGTCGAGCAAGTAATTTATCTCTACAGCAAAAACATGAAAATAATAATTGTAAAGATGAACAACAACTATCAAGTTCTGATGAAAAGGACAGTAACGAACCAAGCTTAGTCGCGAATGGACATATTGAACAAAGAGCGAAATTATCATTAACTAAAAAATTTGATCGTTTAGCGACAGTAGCAACAACAACTGATCATGATTATTCCAAAGAACAGTACCATCGTTATCATCCATTAGATAATCTTGACTCCAAACTGTCTACACCAAATGAATCAAGTTTATCACCAATAGTAACAACAAATACATCGACGAATCAAACACCAGTAAAAAAATTAAATCGCTTTCAAGTTAAATCTATCCGTAAATCCCAACAACCCCAAATGATATTATTAAAAGCTGCTGCAGCTAAATCTTCGAATGATGATGAATATTCTGTACCAAATGAATGTTCAGTTTCATCACTAAAAACACCATTTATTGATAGAAAACATGCTAATACGCCTATAGCTGATCTAGAAAATATATCATCGAATACAAATAGCATTGTTCATGGTGTAATTTCAACATTGGTTAGCGTTCAAAATGAACAGAATCATGTTCATTTTCGAGCTATACCACATGAAAAACAAGATTCAACTGCTGACGAAGAGAAATCACCTGGTATACCAGCAACAACAGCTGCAATGCCAATTCCAGCTCCAGCCTCGTCGACAGCCTCGGCATCAAGAGAGGTTAGCATTCGATCAAATTCATATAAAACACTACAAAAAAGATTTCTCACTATAGCTACGTACATATAAGAATGAGGAAAATAGTTAAACTATAAATTACAGAGAAGTCACGGTAAGGCTCACACAAAATTTAAAAAAATGCTCATTCACTTCTGCTGCTGAGCTGTGACCGTTTTCCTGAATAGTCGACCTGAAGTTCAATTGAAAAGAATATAATTTGTCAAGATGTGCAATACCCAAGTGAACTCAATTTTTATGGCACTTTTTAGACAAAGACACTGTGTGTTGGATTTTGCTACATCTCGATTAATGTAGATTTGCTTTCCGCTAAAAATTTAAGCATATTTTATTGGTCATTAACATTGCAAATATACATGCAATTTGAATTTCAGGTGTGCAATCGAAAATTTTTCTACTGTAACGAAAACATTGTGAGAGCTCAAACGATAGATTACAGTTCTATTAAGGATATTCTTTAGAAATTCTCTAATCGAACATGTCGGAACGAGCTAAACTATGTCTAAATATGATTAATAGTTTGTTTTTTCTTGTCGTAGGATGATGAAGAAGAAGCGATTGGTAAGAGTCCTGACAATCGTTTTATTAAATATGCGAAAGAAATAGGCAGAGGCGCTTTTAAAACAGTCTATCGTGGCTTGGACACAGAAACAAGTGTTGCTGTTGCGTGGTGCGAATTGCAGGTAAGAAAAAACAATTTATTTTCATATAACTATGAGTCAATTGATTGAATAGGATTTTGCACAATTCGATAAACATGAACGAGCACGTTTTAAGGAAGAAGCTGAAATGTTAAAAAAGTTGCAACATCCAAATATCGTACGATTCTTCGACTTTTGGGAAGAAACAAATCCAAGAACAAATAAAAAAGTTATTATTCTTGTGACAGAATTGATGACATCTGGTTCTTTAAAGGGGTATGATCGAATAAAACAATAAAATTGCCTTAAATCAAATATATTTATTATTGACTTTTCTTCTTTAATTATATTTACAGATATATACGTAAATTTAAAGGCCAAAAAGAAGAAAAGCGCATCAATGTAATGAAAAAATGGTGTCGTCAAATTCTTAAAGGTCTTGCTTATTTACACAGTCGTAATCCTTCTGTAATTCATCGCGATTTAAAATGTGATAATGTATTTATATCGAGTACCACTGGTTGTGTTAAAATCGGTGACCTTGGTTTAGCAACGTTTAAAACTCAAACATTTGCTAAAAGTATGCGTGGTACAATGGAATTTATGGCACCTGAAATGTTCGATGAACAGTACGATGAACTTGTTGATATATATTCTTTTGGTTTGTGTATGTTAGAAATGATGACTGGTGAATATCCATACATCGAATGTAAAGGACCAACAGCAGTTATAAAGCGTGTTATAGCTGGTTTAAAACCAGAATGTTATTATAAAGTTGAAAGTGAAGATGTACGAGAAGTTATTGATTGTTGTATACGCACAAAAAAAGAAGAACGGTTACCTGTTCATGAATTATTACAACATTCATTTTTTCTCGATGATAATGGATTGCGTATTGATTTCGTACGCGATCCAGCAAATGATTTACAAGTAATGGTTACCAATCATTCAATTAATTTAAAATTGAAAGTTGTTGATAAAACAAAACGTAAAGCATTGTGGGCAGAACATGAAGCTATACTTTTCCGGTATAATTTTGAAGCCGATAAGCCCGAACAAATAGCTGATGAACTCATTGAAAAGAATTATATATTTGAGGAGGATAAAAAATTTGTTGTTCAATCAATTAAAGATCGAGTCAGAGCTTATCAATATGAGCAAATTGATCGAAAAGCTGGAGTTTTTTGTCGAGATAGAAAACCAATAGCTGCTCAAACATCACTTGTTGGACAACAACAACAGCAACAGCAAGTTCCACAACCTCAGCAGCAGCAACAACAGGTTCCACAACCTCAGCAGCAGCAGCAGCAGCAACAACAACAGCAACAACAACAACAACAAGTTCCACAACCTCAGCAGCAACAACAACAGGTTCCACAATCGCAGCAGCAGCAACAACAGTTACCTCCTCCTCAACCAGCACCACCACTACAACAGCCGTCAACTTCATTGTTAGTTCCACCTCATGTATCAGCTGCTCATCCACTGATACCAGCAGATTCAATTATTCAACAAACAATACTTGAAGTACCACAACAACCAATGGTTAAATCATCGCCAGAAATTCTACAGGCTAAATCAGTTGTAGCCACTGAACCCATTCCGATTCCGCAAGCCACTGAAAATAATTCAAGTGTCTCTGGTTCAGCTGGTAGTCTTGAAGTATTGGATGCAGCATTAAAGAAAACGTTTAATAAAACTAATGTACCTCAAGGGACAAGTAATCTATCAGCGATTAACAACGAAATGAGTGAGCCAACGATACCATTGGCTACTCAAGATGATTCATCGGTAACGAAAATTGGAAATGACTCTGCTGTTATTGAACAAAAACAGCAACAACAAGTAGACGAATCTGGAGGGCTCTTGCCTGTGGAATTGCCTACAAGTAAATAGTTTAATCCGCATATAATATCTATAGATTATCTCTCATAGGTATGCTTCAAATATCGACACCTTCAACTTTACAGACTCAATCTCAGCCAACAACAATGTTCGCATCTGCACCACAACAAATTTTACAAAATCCTCTTCTCCTAACTCAAACATCACAAAGTTTTTCTCACTTGCTTGTACCTCCTGTGCAACAACTTATGAATACAATTTTAACCAATGATACTATAAAGCAGTCAGTATCTTCTTCTTCAACAACTAACCTAGAGACTATTGAAAATAGTCAAATATCAACATCTCCTCCATATACAAATGAAACAGTTCAAACTCCTATTCCATCAGATACATCATCGACTTCTCAACCACCTGTAAACACTAACAATTTGTATATTCTTTTTGAATTTATCTTTGCTTTACTAGATATTGGGTAGTTTAAAACAGCTTGATGCGCTTCTTACAAGTACATTCAAAAATTCCAGTAAAACTGTTGGTACAACACAAAATAGTGATTCGGAAATGGGAAATACAAATGTATCATTACCAACCAATTATGATATTGCTACAAGAGCCATGGAGATAGAATCAGATTTAACAAATAAATCTAATGAGAAGCAACAAAGTTCTAGCCCATTAGTACCATCAGTAGTTCAATTGGAACCAGATGAAGCATCGATTATTATTTCTCAGCTTGTTCAACAAGCACAAGCACAGCCAGCAATTCATTTTGATGGAATAACATTAGTGAATAGAAATAATTCAGAGTCAGACTCATTATTTAAACCTATAGACGACAGAAGTCTATCGGTTGATGACAGTATCACTGCTGTATCATCGAATGATTTATCGGACGTTAAATTAATGATTGGTGATTTAAGTAAAATATTCATAAATCGAATGAATACTATTGAAAATAAAATTGATGAACAACGAAATCAAACTCTACAAATCAATAATTTATTAACAAGAACTGTTTTGCCATCGTTCATGGATTTAGCTGCTATCATCCATGAGACACCCAATCTAGATTCGCACGTAAGAAGTAAACTTAATGTTATTCAAATGAATATACGAATAGCACAAAAACAGAAACCAATTGACATTAACGATGTGACGGACATCTAAAATATTTCTATTTAGCGAACTATTTCTGTGAGCGTCGTTTTCTTTAAGAGATATCCACATGTACAGTTTCTTCTTTTTTGTCGTAGTTTTTCGTTGCAGTTATGTTTTTTTTCTTTTCTCCGCCGAATAACCGCTTTTATCGTTGTGTCGTAAATAGCTATTTACTATATTAACGATAGAAGGAAAGATTCACACAATTCTATGTGTAAATAAATTATTTTAAGTATCGGAATGTTGAATAAACGAAAATTGACCAATAATAAACATATAAATCTATATTCGTTTTACTTTCCCAACCGGTTACTAATGAAACAGATAGCTAAATGGCTTTTACAATAACAACAAAACAAATTGAATTTACTCTCGGCGAAACAGAATTCGATTCAAATTGTAAATATGAACATGGTTTTCTTCTAAATCGAATTTTAGCTAAACAGACAAAATAATTGGTTCATTTATTTGATTAATACACACTCATTCATGTAGGGAAGGCTAATTTCTTGACATATAGTATGCGAGAAAATATTATTTGCATCAAATATTCAATGGATAAATCTATTCCTCAGGGAAATGTATTTATATTTGATTAATTTTCATTAAATATTGCAAACGAAGATGGGGATACAAAGTTTTGGTATCATAAGACGCGAACTAATGAATAAAAGTATTATAGAAATGAATAAAATAGTAGACGATAATTAAACAGCCAAGGGTTGCAACTAAAAATAGTTTGTATAAATCAAACTGTTTCACTCTTACGTTTGTTATTGATAGAAAACGCAAACATCATTGTCAACTATATATGATCGATTATGGTTTTTATTGAAAACGTATTCTCCTGTATGGCTGATATCATTATCAAGTATTTGTTTATACGATAAATATCAGAGACCATAGACAAATACATTATCTTTGACCAGAACACAAAAATCTGGAGTTTTCTCGATCTTGAAAGATCATTATGCCAAGCTTGTTTCAGGATCGTTTGAATGTCATATCCGTTTTTGGTGACATTTAAAATGTGTGTATTTAGTGATGTCATTTTTATAAACAGATGCTTTGACAAATGGCAATAAAAGTCAAATTGAAACAATAAACAAAATCATCACTATTCGAATGGAACATGGAATGAAATGTCTGTGAATCAATTAACTTTGCTGCTTAGTACGAAATAAGATTTTAAATCAAATAACGTCAGATTCAAGAATAATTTATATTTATTAGAAGTTTTGTCGAATAGCTGTAGATTTCAGTGTTCGATAATATTAATTCTGATAAGAGATTATACATCCACAAAGGAAACACGAATCAATAGGATTATTTTTCAAAGGCAGATAATTGCATACGCAATGAAGAAAGAACTTTATTTAATATGATCATGAATAAGGTTCAAATTCGATCATAGAATTATTGAAGGTATCGAAGATATTTTCATCTATACATAATGCAGAATTTTAATCGCATTTAATTTCGTAGACAATCGAAACATAAAACATGAAATCAAGTGATGAAAATAGTCGTGACACTCATGATGATTATCTTGATTCGTTGTTTGTATTTTATGTTTTTCATCTGTCAAGTAATAACATAAGTGACAGATACCGATCAAATCGAACTAATGATTCACGATGCAAGTAGTCTATTTATTCATCAGTTTTTCACAAGTATACAATGATCCTCGTTTTTAAAAGGTTTTTTTTAAAGATATTTACAATTGTCGCTTTATATTAACGATAATATTAATTTATCTTTTAACTTGAATTCGTTATGACGTAGATATTGGCCTTTAAAGAATATCAATTGAACATGATCGAAATTGATGCTCCAATGAGAGAAACCAACCATGAAGGCGTTCATAGTTGCCTTCGTAATTTGAATGTCAACTTGTAGTTAAGATTACGACATAATCCATTTAAAAACATACATCGCAGTGGCCTGATAAATTCCGACGGGGACGTCCTTTGCAAATAATTTTTTCGCTGAAATCCTGACAAGCGCTGCGATGTACGATTTAAGCTCTTATTTTCTTCTCAAGGATAAAGTGCTATGAGTGATCAAAAGGTTTCTTTGTAGATTTTAACAAAGCTCATCTAAATGATAGTCATATGTAACGGCAGTAGCATTTCATGCGAGAACAGGTGCTCTTGTAATTGTCCACAGTGAATTTAGAGATCCGACAAAAAGTCAAGATAATCTTTGATACACATTAGAATATACGCATATATAAACTATCGCTAAATAAAACTAACTAGAATATAATTTAAAGTTAGCGCAATATTTATGGAATCAATTCTTGCGGAGAACATAACTGAGAGTCGATGTACGATTAAATTTTGAAATTCAACTCAATTGAAGAAACAGACGTTTATATTTATTCAAAGTATTCTTTTGCGTTGCTTCATACTGGAGAACTGCTAGACTGTAAACTTACATGTTTTTATCGGTGTAAGCATTTCAATCATTTGTATTTTATTACTGCATCGAAACATTCGTCGACTTCAATTACCATATAAAATAACTAGTGCCGCCAGCCAGCCTAAATCGTGGAGGTTAGAACGAACGAAATAGAAAGTAAAAGCCGAACATAGTAGAGTGGCAAGAGAAGGACGAATGGTTGTATGTATCCAATCATATGTTTATTTATCACATCAAAAGATACTCCTACGTTATTAAAATAGATTTTTAGATTACCAATGCGTTGCTGTAATTTACATAATCGTGCGCCTCGGTCCGAACCGATAACTAAACTAATAGCCATATGTCACAAAGAAAATTCGGTTTCTTTTGATAAATGTCAAATTCCAATCAGCATCAATGACAATCTAATTGTAAAATATTATTAAAATTGACAATATATGTTGTTTTGAAAATTAAAATTTTATTTTTATTTAGATGAAACTTCAATTTGATGATTCGTGCATAAGAGATATGGATCAAAAGGTGAACAAACAAAGCAAAACTTATGATACATTTATTAACGCGTATAAAAAATTTAATGTTGACGAATTACAAGATATACTCTCCACGTCCGTTAGCCAAATAAAAGACTATGTTCTCCTTTGTGTGCCATGCATTGGATGTCGAACAAGGTTTGAATTTATTTTAGAATTATTTAGATTTGGCTTTCTTTTATTTAGTATTGATAGTTTTATTAAAACATTAATTGATTATCGTCATCAAGCACTTGAACCTCTTATAATCAATGAAAAAGGTTCATTCGCAATGAAATCATGTTACATTTCATATCCAGATTATATTTATACTTTATTTTATATTCATGCGTAAGAAAGAAATTTGAAATGTTTATAAATTTTTTGAACTTTTATTTTATAGATCTAAATTAAATTCATTTATTGGAAGTATTTCAAAGTCGAAAAAAAATCGCCGTTGTAATTTACATTCATTGGATAAAACAAAATTTATCATGTATGACAAGCTTAAATTTACTTTAATAAAACAAATTTTCCTACTGTTCTATAGTGATTGGGAACTTGTGTGGAATTCAATGGATAATGAATGTCGAAATCAAGTCACTCTTGTCAAAGCTCATAGTTTACTTGATACGTTAGAAACTTATCTATATAAGCATAAGTAAAAGAAGAAAATATTTTAATAGATAGTCGATTTTATTTTTTGAATTACTAGGTTTTGTGCAGAATGCAAACTTAAAGTGTTAGAAGCGTATCATTTCTTATTTAATAGCCGTGATAATAGATATCGAGTTAAAAAAGGATTTAGTCCAGCGCTATATGAAGGTAAGTTGAACGTTTGGAAAATAATCTCAGAGATTCATGGGGAGAAAATCGAATTTTCCAAGAAACAAAATTTTTATTATTTTGAATTTATTAGTATCAAACTAATCGAATTTGATCTCTCATAGTATCAATATTTTCTTTTGAAACTAAAATTTCGAGGATGTTTATTCCTGCACGAATAGTACGAATTTTCCTATTGTTTTGTTGTCTTTCATTCGACCGATCATGATGAGTAAGAAAATTCTGTTCTACTTGATATTTGCACTTTGATCAAGGACATGCTGAAGACTCAAATGATCTAATTTTGACCGGATCTTTGCATCATAGGTGGGTCTTATAGCCATCAGAATGTTCTTTAACTTCAGCTATAAATTCTAGAAAATGTCAATTTATAAGATCGAACCGTACCGAACGATTCTAACTTTAAAAAAAAGCAAGATCAGAAAATCAAAATTAAAACAGATCATTTACTATTGACCGTGACCATTTGACTAGTTAGGGTCTTAGAAGAAACTCCATCCGACATTATAGAACGCTGTCTTGTCGATGAATAAATGAATCATGTTGATCATATTAGGTTTACGTTCGTGCAATAATGATGAACATATCCGTATTCAAGCTGACAAAGATTTTATTAGTAATCTAATATCTCGTGCTCAATCTGATATTCAAGAAAGTGACCGCGAACGTCATGCTGGAACGTTAGAAATTGCACAAGAAGAAATCTTAATTTGTATTGGAATTAATTTACTTGACAAATTCGATACGGTATATCGTCTAGTGAGAGCAGAAGAACAAACATGGCAATTATTATTTTACATTACTATTGATTATTTAAGATTGAGTAAGAAATTTTCTCTTTTTATCTTCAATGATAAACAAGAAGTTTATTCTAGATTTTGAAAGATCAATGTTCGGTAAACAAGATTTTAATGCAACATTAAATACTCTATGTAAAGAATTCGACGTAACAAATGACATGAAAACACATAAAAAACAAAAACGACAAAATAAAAAAAGTCGACGCCAAATAAAAATCAATGAAGTTTGTGATTCATATTCAAATTCAAATTCTATTCTATCTAAATTAATTTATCTAGGAAAAGGATGTTAACATAATAAATAAAATTGATGATAACTCTATTAATGATAATAAAGTAGAACAATTACCAATTCATCGCCGAACAATTGGTTCTTGCTCTTGTTTATGTCAATCTTGCAATGAACAATCAGACTTCTCATCAACGATTCATAGAAATAAATTATCCAAATCTCAATCATGTCCATCACCAATATCCTCAACCATTGAATATTCATCAAGGCATACATCAACAAGTCAATCAAGTTCCAATGAAACACTTTTATCATCGGTGTCAACGCAAGATTGTGTTAGTCAAGAAATAAATTTAGGTAAATACCACCCTTAAGTTTTTTGCTTGATGATATATTTTATGATACATAAGATAAAGAGCCAATATCGATTGGTGATGAATGTCCAATTTCACCTTCTATATTCAATATTCGCTGTTCAAATGCACGACCTGATCTAGGTTATTCTTCAGGTAAACTGAGATGCCAATAAACGAAATCAGTAGGAAAATAAATTAAGGAGGTGGCTCAATAAACACTCTTGTATCTGTAGAAGAAATAAATGTGGAAACTTCGGATTTCATCCGAAAGTTATGTGTACTGCAAAAAGTGCATGGGATATATGAGTCATTGTAGAATGTCTGAACACCAAAATTATCATGCGAAACTAGACAATTTGATTTCTGGATGCATTTTGAGACGTTTTTCAGGCGATGTTTCATCAGAAAGCTACGGTTTAGTTCAAAACTAATAACAGATTCGGAATCAGCGTTAAAAACTGAGTCGATTTATATATGTTGTGAATAATTCTGCGAAAGATTTATTTTTTGAAAAAAATTCCCTGTACTCCTCCTCAGGGATGGCCTGGTCAAAAATGACAATTTTTTCGATAACTCAACCATTTCTTGAGGGATTCTTCTCATCTTCGAACTCGACCGAGATATTCATGAGATTGAACTGTGTGGAAAATTTCATCACGGGCTGACTCTCCTTTCGAAAGTTATCGTGCCTACGGCCGGACGGACGGACACACTGACCGATTCTAGAGTGTACTCACTTTTTGAGTACACAAAAAGCTGAACACAACGCTTAGGGTTCTTTCTTAGCTTGATCAAATAGTCGAATTATATCTAAGATACTAATTACAATATTTGGAAAAAACTAACGTATGAATGATAATCTTCATAAAACTTCTCCTATCTAGAGCAAGATGATATATGTTCATCGGCGATATGTGATGCCTGTTTAGCTGATGGTAAGATGTTCTATCAAGATATCTATTTAAATTAAGTATTTATTATTTCTTTTCAAAGTGCTACATTGTTGTCCATTACACAGAGTAGATGAAAACAGTACTGAAAAATTGAGTTTAACTAATGGTATCAATAGTAATCATTGTTGTGTTAATAAAACAGTACCAGGTAAAAGATAGATATTTTAGCATAGATGAATTAATATTTAGTTCTTTTCTGTTTTAGATTGTACAAAAACCATTGAATTATGTGATATTACTCGAAAACATAAACTTAAGGTTTGCCATCAATTTGTTTCAGTATGACGTTGATTTTTTTGTACGCTTTCTTTCTAGTTACAATTATGTGATCAGTATCCTTTCTTTAATATGGATCTCAAACAAACTTGGGTAAATATTTACTTTGAGTTATTGCTTAATATTAAAATTAAAATGAGACATGACAACAATCGAAAAAAAGTCTAATTAAGCTAAGAGAAAAAAATCAGTTTCTATTTTCAACCTTTAAAACTGCAACGTATTAAGCATCGAACAATACTTCTGATTGAATGTGTCTGTGAATTTTCGAAAAAAATTGAAATAGGCTCCTCAGTTAGATTTTCAACAAGTATTTCTTTAAAACTATGCCACAAATAAGAGTCATCTACATATAGAGACCGTAGATTAAACGATCGTTACTTTCCTTATTGAAAACTGCACTGCTACGATATCAAATATTTCGCTAGTATACAAAATTGCGCTGCCTGTATCGAATACAACTTGCACTAAAATTTCATAAATGAAATATATTCTCAAAAACAGAACAAGAAGATAACTTTTTCATAGAGTGCAGTTATTCAGTTGGAATCAAATTTTTAGTATTGTAGGAAAACGTATTGTTCATTTATACGTTTAATAAATAGTCTCAAAAACCAATATCGTGCAATGATCCTTGTTCAATCGATTGAGTACCGATATTAGATTTAATTTCAAATAAATTTCGTCATTCGACATCCTTCTATACTCAAATAATATAAAGGAAAGTCTAGCGATAAATTTGTACTGAATATTGTAGTACCGTTAACTAAGCTTCTAAATTAATATCGTATTAATTGCTAATTTTCAGGACGAAACAATTCCAGCAAGTATTGAAAATTCTACATTTATATCGGATGATGATTTTCAACAATTTTTACTGTGCAATAATCGACTTGAAATGAGACGAGCTCAATTACGAGAAGATTTTAAGTTAAAATTCCAAATTTGGCAACAACAAACAATCTTAAACTTCTCATTTAAAAATTGGTGCAAATAATGCTTTTTCTTTTTTCTCAAATATCGAATACATAATATTATCAGCATCTAAACAACTTCTATCAGTTAACTTATAATTTATTTATTAATTTCAAACAAACAAAAATCATCTCTAAAATATGTTATTTTTCCTAATAAAGGCATTTATGGCTAAGTTGATTTATTCGTTTATCTTCTTCACAGTTCATTGCTTCAATTAAGTCAGATCGGTCTAATAAGCGATCAATATGTTCCTCTGATATAACATCATTTTCCGTAATAATTGTTCGCTGTTCAATTTTTGTAATGCCTTCAACTAATTCGGCTAAATTAATTGATTTAGCTTGTTCACCTTGTGGATCAAATGATAAAACCTAAAACAAATCAAGAATGATTTCGCTCACTTCGAAAAATATTATGATCAGCTTACTGTTTCATATGCATCGAAACCTTGTTTAAGTTCTACAAAAATTAAACAAAAAAGATTCAATTCTGAAACAAGAAAAATAATTGACGAACCGTCATGTACAATTAATTTTTCCATAATTTGTTTTGAACAAGCACGTTTATATACACGCTCGTCAATCGTATTACGAACAATAAAACGATAAACAATGACAGGCTTGGTTTGACCAATACGATGAGCACGATCTTGAGCTTGCATATCAATCATTGGATTCTAATATGAAGAGAAAAAAACAGAAATACTTTTTCTTAGCATTATTTCGCTTGGTGCAAAAGGCTGCTATTTAATTTTAAGATTCTATATGAATATTTGATCATGAACATTTCGTTTTAATTTTTATAGACTCAATAGATTCATCTGACAACTTCATTTGATTACAGATGTATAGTTTTTGTAGTGTTAGTTTTATTTAAAAACCCAAACGGTCCTTCTAAAAACAAAATCGATATACGATGTATAATTGATCGTTGAAGACTTTCATGTGCAACCGCTGATCAAGATAGGATTTATTCTATGTTAGAAGTTGGCGCTAATTGAATTTGATACCAGATAAGTATAAAATAGAGGTAGCGAAGTGAAAGTCTGTTCCTATCAATTTTCAAACTAGTCAAATCATTCGGTTGATTTTTTTTATGCTTATTACGTCCCTGTTGTCTTGCTTTTATATTAACTGGAAATTAAGTATTGTTCTTCGCTTTGCCGAACTCAGACTAACTACTACGGTAAATAAATCGAACGAAGACTGCAAACATTTTTGAAACAATAAGATATATTACCCAATCTGAATTGAATAAAACAACTGTATCAGCTGCCATTAAATTCAAACCTAAACCACCAGCTCTTGTACTGATTAAAAAGATGAAAACATCCGGATCTTTATTAAATGTTGAAATCTAAAAATTCCGAAACAAAAAAAACAGTTTTTTAAAGATTGTCTTAGAAAGAAAAACAACGTGGGAAGAACATACAGCATCAATTCTTTCGTCAAAACTTGTATTTCCATCAAGTCTTGTATAGCCATAATTTCTATGTTCACACATTGCTTCAAGTAAATCGAGAAAAATGACCAACGTGGAAAAGATTAAAACCTAGATTTTCAATTTGTTTTTGTATGAAACACAAAACAAAATTGTATATTCTACTTTATGGTTGTTTAGACGTAATTTTCCAAGCATTTTATCTAATAAAATAAATTTTCCACTACTTGTTATTAAATCTTCATTGACAATAATTTCTCCATTCTCATCTCGTGGTGCATCAAGTAAATATGGATGAGTACAAGCACGAAGAAGTGGAAATACAACGCTTCGACCAGTAATTTTCTTTGCTATAACATCTTCTCTAGAATTAGTAGAACAATTTTATTGATTCAATTTTCAAGCTAAATATAGAATTACTTTAATTCCAATGTGGGAATTTCATTTTTACGTTGACTTCGTAGCCGTTTAGTATCGTCAAAAACTTGTACAAAATCATCTTTTTTACGCTAAACGAAAAGAAATTGAAATTGGAAAGAAAAGATCTCGATTTTCTTCGTAGTTTACATCATCAATATAACGGCGAATTATTTCATCAACAAGTTTATTGTACCATTTGACTTGAAGGCTAGTCATTTTTGTATATACAGTTACTTCTTTTTTAGGTGGTAAATATAAATTAACATCGCCTTTTCGACGACGTAGAATAAATGGAATAAGAATCTATACGGCAATCAATGTAGAAAATTTATCAGATTAAAGTCATCTATTTTACTTGATGAAAAATTGATAAAACCGATCGTTCTTGTTCTTCTTTAAAATTCATTTTTGAATTACTCATGGAATCGATTTCAAAATAACGTTCAAATACTTCCTTGAAGAAATAAAAACTAGTTTATTTCAGAATAGACTTTTATCGGCTTACGGGTTCATCAAATATTTCCGGTAAAAGAAAATTCATTAATGACCACATTTCGCTCATGTTATTTTGAACAGGTGTACCAGTTAATAGAAATCGACTGCCTGTATGTATCCGACGAAGCATAGCCATTAATTGACATTTTGGATTTTTCAATCGGTGACCTTCATCAACAACTAATAATGGCCATTGCTCTCGTTTAAAAAATGCTCTGAAAAAGAAAGCAATATATTAGATAGAGAGGTTCATATTAGCCGCTATTTTATTTCATTACTTGTCACTAACAATAATATGGTAAGCTGTAATTAAGACAATAGGTGATGCTTTTTTGGTTTGACGATGTTGATATATTTTATTGCGTAGTTCAGCCAATTTTTCTTTATTACCATGATAGACCATACAGGTGACCTAAAACGATCATATTGAATCAATTTGTAAAGGAAGCGCCCAACATATTTCGCCAAATTTTACTTTGTTGAAATATTTCTGGCAAAATGTTTGCCTACTGGCAACTATTGTCGACTTGAAAATCTTCAGGGGCATACTCAGATTGATAAGAACTACTTGAGAAATACGCTATAGATCAAAATCCCGTATTTGTACTGTTTTATTAATATTTCACTAGATTTTAAATGTAAGCATCTAATTGAATTTCGATCGACTATTATGTTTATGTGTCATCAGACTGTATTACTCTTAGAAACTATCAGAAAGATGGTTGAACAATATCTCGATATCTTTCTAAACTTACTTCTGGTGCGAATCGAGCAAATTCAGTACACCAATTAGTTAGTGTCGAAAGTGGGGCAACAACAAGAAATGGGCCAGGTGCTCCATCTTGAACTAAACTGCAAATAAATGCAATGACTTGAACAGTTTTACCTATTTAAATTAAAAGAGAAAAATTAAATAGAAAATAAAACTCCAAGTGTTTCCTAGCATACCAAGACCCATTTCGTCAGCAAGAATTCCATTAAGACCGACCTCGTGTAATGTACGTAGCCATTCGAGACCAGCTAATTGATCTATTAAGACAAGAATATAAGTACGACACTCCATGAAATAAAACTAAGACTAACAAGGTTTCAATGATCCAACAAATAATTTCGGCTGCCGAGCTACTATATCTTTGTCAGTCATGTCATAATATTTCTTTAGTAATCCAGTTCGTTTTATATCATCTTCAGTTGATTTTGTTTGTTCTTCACCGTCGTGCTTTTTAGTCTTCTTTTTATGTCCATGATCGGCCATAGACTGTTTAATTTTGTTATTAAGATGATGAACATATTTTTGGCAACGCTCAAGAAGTACAAGTAATTTCGAATAAACATTATCATAAAGTGTACGGCGTTCTTCGTCACTCATTTTCTAAAGATTCAAAAATTCAAAAAATGAATAAACTATCAAGTGAGAATTATTACCTTATTTGATTCCGGTTTAACTGAACCCATAATATCTCTAATAACTATATTATCAGCTTTTTGCTCTTCTTGTTCGAGTTCTTTGTCTAATTGATTTTCTGGAATATTTTCGTATTCTTCTTCTTTGATAGTTGTTGATATTTTAATTGAATCGGTTTGATCATTCACATTTGAGTCCATGCTTTTTCGACGTTTTTTTGCTGGTTCATCGTTCATTGCTAAATAACTAGGCGGTTTGTTCTCTTTAAATGCAAAAGAAAAAAATATAAGCTCCTGAAATAGATTTAATTGGAATTAGGAGTTTACCGCCGTTTTGCACTTTTAATCCAGATTTAAAATCACTTGAATTTTTATTATCATGATTATCGTCGATATCAGCTAGTAGTCGTTTAGCAGCCATGCTTTAAATAAAGAGATTGTGAAACAAATGAAACGGCCGAATTGATCACATTGACCCGGGTTTTTTTAACGATTCTAGCGACATCGATTGTTTTTCAAGATTCAATCATTATTATTTATTATTTATTTTTAAAAACAAATGAAAAATTTGAAATGCACATCTTGTATGTTAAATGGGTTTTTTTTTATGTTGCTAAGTTGCCGAATCTTTGGTAGTCATAGAAACTGTAGAAAGATCTCGAAAAACTGTTAATTATTGTGAAATCCTTTTAGAGTACCAATGAAGCGTTTACAAACAAGTATTAGCACTGCAAATGATGATTCCATTTCAGAAAAGAAAATCAAGGCAAGCAGTTATTCTTTCTGCTGATAATGAATAACAGCGGCTTTACACTAGAATTACTCTTTAGGAAATTGACTTTCCTCGTCAAGAGAAATTATTAGTTGTATAAGGGTCTAAATAAGCTGATGAATGATATAGTCTAAAATAAATTTTCTCAAAATACAATTCTGGAAATTCATAGTATTTAAACAATCTGTAAATGAATGCTGTGTTCCATGCAGAAAGAGTATTCTATATCCTAAATAAGATTCATATCTTTGTTGCGTTATCAAACAGAAATCGGATATATTTGCTTCGAGACAAGAACAAATTATTTCTCTTGTGTCAATCACTATTTCTTGTTTTGGATATGACCTCTATCACTCCTGTTAGACAACTGATGACCGTTAAGTAACATAAACTTTTAAATAAATAACATTTATATCCTAATGATTCACTGTTGTTCGTTCTATCGATGACTAATCAGTATATGAGTGATTTTATGTAAAGTTATATTTTCGTAAAGTAGAATGCCTGAAATAAGATGAATCAGCCTGATATGCCATGATTTCCATTGATATCAAACAAGTCATCTAAAATTCCCCAAAAATGATAATTCCTCGTAGTTGTTGTTTGCATAGTTTGTAATTACGATTTAATAACGTCACTTTTTAGTTTTCATCAAATTTGAAACAACCGATTATCTTCATAAAAAATGATCTTGTACGTAGCAGTAAATTATAGAAAAAAATCATTTAATTGATGATTTTTTTTTTGATATATAATAGGATTCATTTCGTGAACAACAACCAATATTTCTTCCGGATCCAATAGAAATCTGTGAAACACAACCATTGCCATATCGAGACGAAGAAAACGAAATAATAAAAGCCTTCGTAAATAAATATAATATACTCTTCACTGACGAAAACTTTCTTCCATCGCTAGGATAATATCTTACCAATTGACTATCGCGAATGGGAAAATTCCATTGTATATCATTCGAATGCCATTACTCTCTTGAAAACAGAAGAAACAGGTTGGATACCAACACGTGAATGTCAAACACTAGCTACATATCAAAAAGAAATACTAGGTGAATAGAAGTTCCTAATTTGAGCTCGAAAGAGATTTCTAATGGTCTTCGTTTCGTTGCTAAAGGGCGTAATGTTGATTTTATTGAAAATATTCGATATGGTATGTGAACTGTATTTTAATTGGAATTCATAAAGTTTCATATTCGTATAGATGACCATGATCGTGCTATGAATTGGTATTCAATATTTCCTTTTACTGATGCCGTCATATTAAAAAATTTAATGGATTACAAGAATTTTCAATTCGATTTAAACGTAAGATGAAAACTGATGATATTTTTTCAACAATAAATTTGATTGGTTTAGCATAAAGCAAAATATATTAATCCACAACAGGACCCCACGGTAACAGAAGTACCAATGGAACCTCGTGTAACTGCTATTCGCAAAGAAAAACTACCAACACATTCAAAGAGTAATTCTTTAAAAAGCAATAAAGTGAATTTCTCTTTCTCGCATAATTTTACGGACCATATTTTTTTTCAATAGGAACGTCGTTTACGTCGTACGCGCAATGTTCTTGCTCGTGCAGGTTTGACTAGTATTCTACCTGATGTTCATGATGAGCATCAACATCATTCTCATGATAAGAATACAGAGGATATTAAAGTTAAACCTGTTAGTTTTTGGAATTTAAGTAATGATTTTTATTATGACTTTAACAATGAAGAAGAGACTCTATCGAAACGACGAATCAATTCTTCACAAGTAGGTGAATTTAGTTTTATTTTTAAATTCCAACTCATGTCTTCAATAGAATCTTGACTTTATATTCTATCCAATATTTCGTACAATCAATGAATTACGTTATTTTCATCGTCCACTACTCACCTTACCAAACTATCATAAATCTTGGTTGTGTATTGAATTATCGAGTATTGACAATTCCAAGAAATCGATTCGAACTAAATCCGATTTAACAGCTCGATATGGTGAAATACTTTTATTTGAATACAGTGAACAATATCCAGTACTACTAAATGAAATTGGAATGTTTGGCAAGATTCGAACCTACCTACGACCGGTAAAATAAAATAAATAAAACTGTGAAATATTAATTTTATGGTTATTTTTTCAGCAATATTTTAAAGCTCATACAACAGCATTTGAAGTTGATTATGGTGAATTAATCTATACGCATGCATCACCATTTCTCTGGCCAATACCGCGAGGTTTAAACATTCAAACAATGGAAAACAACATGTTCATTGCGCCAATCTATCGTCAAACGTCTTTAAGAAATGAGTTTTTAATTGTATTTAACCGGAAAAACGGTTTTTCTATTCGAAATATTGATAATATTTTCATTACCGGACAACAATGTCCACTAATGGAAGTTCCTATACCACAATCGAAACGTGTGAATTTATTTCAACGTGATCTATTACAAATTTATATTTATCGATTGTTTCTACACAGTAATGAAATACCACGTCGAATTCGTATTGATGATATCAAACGAGTATTTCCACGTTTGGCTGAATCATCGATTCGAAAACGATTAAAGACAAGTGCAAATTTTCGAAGAACTGGTAGCATCAAACATTTTTTTCACTTCATTTTGTTTTTTGACTTTATAATAATCTGTTTTATTTTTCAGACGACTGCAATTCATGGATTTTGCGAGATGATTTTCGATTACCAACAGAAGATGAAATATGTGAATTAATAAAACCGGAATTTTGCTGTGCATATGCATCCATGGCTGCAGCTGAACAACGTTTGAAGGGTAATTCACCAACTCAACATTTTTATAGATTGTCAGATACAATTTACATCTCGAAACACGAAAACTTTCTTTTCAAAATAATAGTTGTTGATTATCTGTATCGTAGATGTTGGCTTTTGCGAGAAATATAATATGAGTTTTGAGGATGATGAACAATCTAATTACTCACCTGAACTTAACGATGAAATTTTACAAGCACCTTGGAATACAACACGTGCATATCTTGGTGCAATAAGAGGCAAATATTTGATGCAAGTGTTTGGTATCGGAGGTAAGAAGAGCAAATTAATTCTATTGAACTATTTTCCTATGAAATATCTTGTTTCCTTTTAGCTAAGACAATACATAAAACTAAAGTAAGACATACATATGTATATATTTCAACTGAAATCGCGCATCGAATATAGATAAACAATGATTTAAAACATCTACGTCGAGCTGTAACAGGTACAGACGCAGATCTTCGCCGTTTACAATTGAAAGATGCAAGAAAATTACTACTCAAATTCAATATATCTGAAAAAGTTATTCAATCGTTAACTCGCTGGGAAATAGTCGATTTAGTAAGTAGAAAAACAAATTATAATAGTACTAACTTTTTGAGTAAATTATTTTTTTCATAGGTTAGAACATTATCTACACAACAAGCAAAAGAAGGCATTGGCGGCGGTAGATATAACATATTCGCAATTTTTTGCTATTGTCATGTTATACTTTTGAAAAAACAAAGGAATGGTTAAATTTGCTCGTGGTGTCAAACATTTGCAAGCTCAACAATTTGAAAGTTATAAAGATAATTGCCTGAGACAATTCGAATATCAAAATCGGTCAATTAAACTTTTATTTCCATGAGAAAATATACATCATCTCTTTTTTTAACTAGTCTTTTCACGTCTAAAGATGAAGAAACAACCGACGAAGATTCATCAGACGAATCCGATGAAAATACTCAACTACTTGATGAAATGAGTCAAACATTAGAAAATCTCTTACGACAAAATAAAACCATGAATACGCCAACATCGCTTTCAAACGAAGTTTAAATTTTATTAAGTTTTGTTTATTAATCGGAAGTTATGCTTTTAGCGTCCAAAAATGTTGCATCTTATTCGAACCTATGTCGATAATCAAGGTCAATCTTACCAGCGCGAAGAATTTGTTCGTAATAATGATTCACTCATTCAAGCATACATTAAAATTCGTCAAAGCAAAAGCGACCAATTTATGTAAGATTGGATTGAAAATTTTAGTTTTAATACTTTCTACGTCTAAATATCATGGAAACAATAAATCATTCACCATTTTTTTTTTAGAAAAGTCAAATTTCTCAGGAGAACTTGAAACCTGGAGCAATTATCGAACTTTGAGGAAACTTTTCTACAAGTATTTTAAATTTCGAAATTTGAAGATGCTAAACTAGATCGTTATTTTTAACTATTTTTTCTATAGTTAAACAGTTTCTGATAGAAAAATATGGTGATGAAGTATGACTTAAAAGAATATGTTCTTCTCTGGAAAACACCAGGATGTTTTTTCTCATTCAAATTTCCTTTCCTTCATCAATTTTCATCAAAATAATGTATACGGCAAACAGCTACAATTGAAACTCTCGCTATCACGACCGCGTCGATTTGTATGACTTTTAATGTTGTTTCTCATTGCATATTCAGTCGTTGAAACCTCCTCGAAATTTTATTGATTATGACGAACTTGTAATTATTTAATATTTTAATACAAATCTGCAGCGCTTTAAATTCTTTACCGGATGATTCCTAAAGCATACCGATAGACGTATTCTTTGTATAATATTAGCTGTCGTTGTATAAGTATGCACTAGAAGGAAAAAAAAGTGCTGATATACTCTCACTTCGAAAATCAGTATTTGTTCATCTGTCAACGCAAGTGAAAATATAATCTATTGAGACTATTTATATTCTAGTAAAGCTTATTATACATTGGATGAAACTGAACGTGAAACATTAAAACGAGAACGTCGTCGTCTTCAAGAGCAACTTCGTCGAGTCAAACGAAATGAAGCACGTTACAATCAATATGAAAAGCAACAAATATTATTACAAATACAACAACAAAATCTAGCATTAATTCAATCATCTGAAGCGTCCAAATTAGCACGATTACCATCATCATCTTCGACTAATTTAAAACATTCGAATAGTATTCTTTCTAATTTACAACTAAGTACGAGTGAAGACGATGATCAATCTTCCTCATCAGTATCTTGAATATTATTAAGTCATCAACAACAAAATTTTTAAAAGACAATTACGTCGTTTTTGTCTCCTGTTCGTTTTCTTATGTTGAATACTTCAGCCCTTTTTTTTTCGTGTCCATTTAACAATGGGTATGTGCGATAATGTATTCGACCACTTGATCAAGTGTTTTTCAACTTTGTATGAAGACAAAGAAAAAAAGAACAAGTCGGCAAACAAAAGTAGTTTTCAATCATTTCAATAAATGTTGTTGACTAATCATCATTACACCCAACAGCAGTTGTAGAAGCACAGAATCTATGCATTTTTATTTGTACAAATCGTGTTTGTGCCGTTAGTCAAACCACTTCATACTTATTGACACATTACCGCTGCTTGGTTACAACATTAAAAAAACGAATGAGATGATTTAAATCATTGAAATATATATTTAGTTTTTTTTTCTGCCTTTTGAAAGCTTACATTTTCTTTTTATTATCAATATTCATATGTATTCATATCAAAAACCTTCATTGATATGGAAAGAGAGAAAGCTAACGAAATAAATTGAAAAAGAATATGCGCGAAATCGACACGCGAATGTATACATGGTCACATAATTATTGTGTTTGACTAGTTCATTAAAATATTATAACAAGCATTTCAATAGTTGGAAAGAGACGAGCGCCTCCAAACATAATTTACTTTTATTGCTATTGGTATTTATCAGAATGTATCGATAAAAATGAATGTACCTCGTCTCCTAGAGGCGAATAAACGAAAGCGACATTAGGTTGCTCTATTTATGCTTTAAACATAAGAGCAAAAAACGACGAGTGTTATCACGAATGAATCGATATTTAAATGAAAAGAGGATGTCATACATTTCTTTTTGTATTAATATTTTCTCCTTCAATACTATGATCGTTTATCTATGATTAAATATCTTTCATTTAATTTACGCATACGAACGATGTATCATCCCCGATCTATCAGTTTTTCTTCTTTTTTTACTCGCTTTTCATATTCGACCAATGCAAATTTTCTCTATACGCTCATTGGCTCGTTGATGCATGCATATAATAAGCATCCCGCAAACGAAAGAACCGAAGGCGCGACAGAGAGAAAATCGTTTATGATTACTAAAAACAATCTTTTTCTATTTAACACTGCTTTCACCTAACCATACGTATTGAGATACATTCTCTCACTTGTGGGTAGGCGTCGTTCGATTTTTTTTTCTATTAAATATTTGCAAAACAATTATCGTACAAGAAAATCGACAAACAACCAAGACATCATCCTCATTGATTGGTGGAATAGAGGAGCGAGAGAAAAAGAAAAAAAAAGAGAGAGAGAGAGAGAGAGAGACGACGAGAACACGATCGATTAACGACTACATTATTGACTATTGACTGTCAAAAGAAACTATACACATACAAACGATACCCAGTATTAAAAAACAATGTATCAACTTCCTCATTATTCTGATGCACTTAAACAGTTTCCATCGGCTGCACTTTCAGCATATTTTGCTGGAGCTACAAATAATGGAAATGGTATGGTTCATAATACGGGTCATCATCCTTTTGCTGCTGCAGCTGCTGCCGCTGCGGCTGCTGCTGTTGCCTCACATACAAATCCATTTTCAATTGATAATATTCTTGCTTCGCGTCCTCGTTTACCTGTACCATTATCGTCCTACTATGGTCCAACAGCAAATAACACAGCTCAAGCTGCAGCTGATTTCTATTGTAAGTATATACACGTATATTTGTTTATATGAATGAGTGAAAGCTAAGGGTGTTAGAGCGAAAAGTTTATCATTTTTGGTATATTTGCTTATGATAAATGTGTTTAATTGTTGGTATGGTCAGTGAATCATTTTAACTAGATATTGTTTCCGATCCGTCACCTATTTTCGAGCTAACATGAAGATAGTTATTATTGTATGTGATAGGAGAGAAGAAAAAAAAGTTCAAAGAGATGATTGTTCATGTAAACATAGAGCGATTTTCTGCTCTCGGGCACACATTAGAAGGAACTTATGGATTTGGTTGATTTTTGATAAAAGTTAATTATCTTTTACGGCATACAAAGTAGTGTCTATTTAATCTCAGTACGGAAGAACGAACATTTTGATAATAATTAAAATAAATACATAAATAAATAAATAAATAAATAAATCATTTTCTGTATTATCCAGCATTACAAAATTTCTTTGCTGTGGCTTCCATGGCTCAAAATCATAAACGAAAAAGAAGACATCGAACTATTTTCACAGAAGAACAACTTGAACAATTGGAAGAAGCTTTTAGTCGTACACATTATCCAGATGTTATGATGAGAGAAGGTAGAAAAAGCAAAAAAAAATATGTTTTTTCGTTAACATGTATAAAACAATTATATTTTGTAGATTTGGCTATGAAAATTGATCTCAAAGAAGAACGTGTTGAAGTAAGTGTTTTCAGACGGAGAAAATACATTTTTCTTCTCTTTATTTCATAAATTTAAGTTTCCTGACAAATAAAGCCCGTTAAAAATTGATGTACTTTGCCTTTTAATCCTATAAAGGTCGCGCACAGTGCTTGAAAAATAAATATTTTCGTCGTCATCATATCTTTTATTAGTGGCTTGAAAATATAAACGTTAGTTTTAGTTGACTTTTCTCATTTGTTTATCGATGATTTCGATTGTTATTTTAACAGTTTAATGATTGACTAAAAAATTGTTTGATCAGCTTAAAGACGCGCGGCATTAAGATTTTTTTGTATTAAGTAAGAAATAATGAAAAAAAAATATTCTTAATGTTTACCCGATTATAATATATACGAGAACGATATTTAACCTAAATAAAATAAAACTTGAGAAATTGACTTGCCCATTAGGTTTATTTAATAGCTAGTTGTTACTGTTGTTCGGTTAGATAGAGAAGGCCGTGAGAAGCTTTTATCGTTATGCTAGTTTAATGGAAGGAAAGAAGGCACTTGCTCACAATGTCGAGTGATTTCAAAATCGCATTCATTTTCTTTTTGTCTTGTTTAAAAAAGAAGTTGATTTCTCGTATTACCCTATGGGTGTGAGAGCATTCGATTGATTGGTGTTGTTGACATGACTACTTTTCTAATACATATATATTGCTTCTTGTGTCTTTTTATGAACTGTTTTCATTGAGAGAAGCAATCGAACGACTTAGTCTATCATTTGCCAATTATCCGCTGATTGCTGGTTAAATAAACTTGACTGAACCCTAGCAAAAGAAAGATCAGCTCCTCGCATTTGAAAGTGATCAAGCTAAAGAATAAAGACAAAGAGAAGAAGAAAAAAAGAAATGTGTATATAAATATAAGTGCCGAAGCCGGGATGATCTAAAGACAAATCTAGTCTTTACGATACTCTCATTTCATGTTCTTACTCTTATGTGAAGAGAATTTTTTCCATTTCCTTTCAACGCCGCCTACTCTTTGTGTTCCATCATATCCGATTGCTCTTTTGTTTATTATTCACAATGAACTATATTGAACGATATTAATAACAACAATCATTTGTAGCTTCTTTTTTGCTACTACTGATGTACAATGAAGTGTTTTGCTGGCTTGTTCGCCTATTGCTTCTAATAGGCTAATAAATCATAACATTTTCATACCAATATCGGTTCGACTGTTGATCTCTCTCTCTCTCTATATATATATATATATAAATGTATACCATTTGCCTCCTTCCCGGAATGATGTTGATATACTATCAATGAATTGACTTGATTAATTTTTATGCATGATCACACATGAAAGAGAAAAAAGGAAAAATGTAAACTGGTCGAAACACATTATGACCAATAGGAGTATACGAATTTTGATAGGTTGCACCTGTAGTATGAGAGGGAATTAACCAACCGTAACATTGCTCTTTCTTGTGTTTTGTTTTTCTTCTTGTTTGATCATTGATTAGAAATCTAAATGGTTATTTAATTCTTAGGTTTGGTTTAAAAATCGTCGTGCAAAATACCGAAAGCAGAAACGAGAAGCAACAGAACGATGTAATTATTCTTATTCTTATTCTTATTATTCATATTTTTCTTATTCTATGATTTATTTAGGCCGCCGTGAAGCTCTTGATAAATCACAACGAACGGATGGTGAAAGTATTGCAACAGGTTCATCGACGCCAAGTGCAAATTCAAGTTCATCATTAAGTAGTATTGGTCAAGAGACATCAACTAATGTCGATCATTCATTATCAACTTCGAATCATTTAGCTGTATGTCCAACGATACCAAGTAACAATAGTGATAGTTCAAGATCAGATGTATCAATAGGTGTTCAATCAGCACATTCGCCAACTTACAGTCAACAACCATTAGCTTTAACGACAAATGGACGATTAAATAATCCTAGTTCAGTATCGATGAATAATGACTATCGTAAAGAAACTTTTCCAATAAATCATATGAGACAACATGTGATTTCAGGAACATCATCAAATAATAACTCTGCACCATATCTTAAACTGTAGAAAGCATTCTTTTGTCTTTTGTGTTATTGTTGTGTGTATGTGTGTATAGTATCTCTTCTACCGCGATTCTTTATTTTCTAGTTATTTTTTGCCCTTGAACAGTGTCATCCGTATTCTTGTTGTCAATAAAATTTAAAAAAAAGATTTATGTAATTGGTAATCAAATAAAACGTATATACGGGGAAAACCCCTTACAACAGATATAGTCACTATCGTAAGGTTATCATAGAAACCATGGACGATGATATCTGTTTATTAATTAGAAATCTGATTCGAGAAAAATAAGCTTCCATAGAAGTATTAATTGCTAATGTGAGTATTATTCATAGGTTTTTCGAACACAATTGATTTAGTTACTCGAAAATATTTTAGCCGATATTGAAATTCAGGTTGAAGACACTTGTATATACAATTAGGATACAATCTGGTTTTCGTTTATCAAGAGTTTTTTATGTTCACACTTTCCGCTAGAATATATTTTAGGCTTATTTGACTCAATGTTCGAAGTTGTTCGTAATGTC